AATTGTTTAGCTCGAGGATATATTAGAAATGTCATATTGAGAACATTATTCTCATCTAATTCCCATCGTTCATTTGTCTAGAAACAACAAAAAAAAAACAATATTCATAAAATCATTTCTTCAATTAAATGAAATTAAAAATTATCTAATTCTAGTTACAAAAACAAAAAAAGATTAACATTTACCATAAGATAACTATAAGGAATTTCTTCTGGTAAATATTCTAACATTTTTTCACGTATACACATTTCTGCTATTTCTTGTGGATATTGATCTGTAACAAAATTTCGATGAAACATCCATGATGCTGATTTTGTACGTGAGAAAAGATATTTCTAAAGTAAAAATAATTTTCGTTTAAAAAAAAAAAAGAAAAAAAAACTAAACTAACTCGAACAGCTCCTATGCCTTGATTTTTTTTAGATGATATCATAAAAACTTGATTAAAATATGGCCATGTTGAACGAGCTCTTGTAAATAAACGAATTTGTGATAATTTTTTATAATATAAATGCCAATTTGTTGTTTCCATTAAATCTTTTTTAAATTCAAATGGATTAATATCATTCATTGATTTATATGGTATATGAGAAGATATATCATCTGAAAGTTGTTCTAATGTTAAACTATTTTTTTCATGTTGAACTACTAATTCTTGAATTTGTTTTTCTTCTAAATCAAGATTAACATTTTCTAATTGAATATTTAATAATTTATTTTCATATTCTTTCATATCAGTTAATAAACGTTCTTTTTTAATATCATGTTCTGTTTTTGGTAATTGTATATTCATTTCGTGAGCTGTTTTAAGAAATAAACGTTCCATATCAAGTTCACCATTACGATGATACGGAGAATCAAGACGATATGGAATTCCATTAAGTGAACCATCTGTAAGAACTGTTGTAACATCAAGTAACATTCGTTTACGTTTTATTGAATCCACCTTAAAATTTTATTTTCTTTTATTAAAGATAAAAAAACAACAGAAATGTATTTTTGTTTTACTTACTTTATTAAGAATAAGTATAGCTTCTTTATCAGGATGAGCATAAAGACATTTAAGAATTTCTTCATCAAGTTTAAAACGAAGCCAATGATTAGAAACATCATGTACAACACAAACTAGAAAAAAAAAATGTTTAATCAAAAATAAAGAAAGAATATCTTTTTTTAACATACTCAAATTAGCATCCCATAGGCACGAATGAGGATCGAGAATCATTGATTTTTCAAGATTATGTCTATAAAAATAAAAAAATATGTTTTTTATTTAAATTTAATTTTATATATGTATTTACCGTTTTTTTCTCCATGGTGCAACAAAACCAGGTGTATCAAGAAAAACCTTTTGATATTAAAGAATAGAAAATTTTTAAGTTAGAAAATATTTCTTACAATTTGTTTATTAGCATCAGTCAAAACTCCTGTAATTCGATGTCGAGTTGTATGTGGTCGTTTGGATACAGATGAAATCTAAATTATCAAAAAAACAAAAAAAGATACTTCAAAATAATTGTATATTAATTTTCTTTTCGTTATATATTTGCATAGGATTAACTGTTTTCGAAAATCTTCTCAAATAAATTACTGTTTAAAGAAGGTAAATCTTTTTCAAAAGACTTTATACTTGTATTATTCATAATTTTTAATTTTTATTTGTTAATCTTACCCTCCAACCCATGAGACGATTAACAAATGTGCTTTTTCCAGCATTAGGAGCTCCAATAATAGCTACTTTAAGTAATTCAGCATCACTAGGCATATCTGGACGAAGTAATGATATGGCAGTATGTTCAGCTAAATATAAAGATAATGATTGTTTTCATAATTTTCATACAAAAGAAATCTATAATCTGCTCTTTCTCTAATACATACCACTAGTTCGCCCAATTAATGGTTTACTTAAATCGAATTTAGATAGAGGAATAATTTTTTCATTTGGATCAGATTCAATATGAATCGCTCGTGTGAATATAATCGATCGTGCGTGTCGACAAGTAAAATGCGAGATTCGATGTAATGTTATCATTGTTGATTATAAGTATAGTAATATCTAAGAAGAGACAGTATATAGTTTGAAGAACTACTGTGTTTATAGATGTGAAAGTTTTTTTATCGTTTTTTTCTCTTCTCTAATACTTGGATTCAATGATTCACAAGTTTAGTTTTGACTTTATCAATGCTCTTCTCAGAAGACATTAAATTAGATGGCGCTGACAGACAGATGTGCTTTGCAAGAAAAAATCAAAAGAATATTGAAAAATGAATATAGCTGTTGTAGACATTTCTTTCTTATATATGGATAATCTTTTTATAGCAATATATTTCTTTCGAGTTGCTGTTTCAGTAGCATTCAAAGTAACGACTTGTTGATTATTCCCTCTACTAGAAGGAGGGTCATATGCTGAGTGAACTATCTTCGTTCGTTCGTATGTTTATTCGATCATAGTAGCACCTAAGGTGATTTATTCCACTACGTAAGATAAAGTTTGACCAAAGGTTTTTGGGGTCGAAGAATTCAGATGTGTAATTAATTTTTCAAAATTTTATACTCAATTTTTTTTCCTAAGAAAAGCAGTTTTTTACGAGAAAATTCCCTCTATTGAAAAGAGGGTCATATGCTGAGTAAGCTATCTTCGTTCGTTCGTATGTTCGCTCGATTCTAGAAGGAGCTGAGACAAATAACCCTCGTCCAATAGAATTTCGAGGATGGGAATTTCAGCCAATCAGATGTTTTTAAGATGTAACTCCCGTCCAATAGGATTTCGAGGATTGGGATTTCGGCCAATTAGAATTTTTCAAGGTGTGATTCTCGCCTATTCAGTGTTTGTCGCATGGAAGTTTCAGCGATTCTGTTGTTCTTGGTCTTTTGCTATCTTCGAGAGAGGTTTTTAATAATATGATTTGAGCTAATTATATGTTTCTCCCATTTTGGTTCCTTCGAGAAAGCGTTTTCGGTTGTGAGACGTAAGTCATCCAGATATTATCCCATCTTGGTCTCTTGTAGATGGATGTCTCCTTGGTTTTGAGGCGAATCGGGTGTTGAGATTCATGCACTTCGGCCAACGCTTTTTCTGTGACGAAAATTACATTCTTTCAGCTGTTTTTTGTCTGATTAATTTTCTGCATCAAGGATTCCAGCAAAGCACATACATTTTGGTGCCTATGGCTTCTCGACTCAGAGCTTTTATGTTTTTATTGAGTCAGCCGGGGAACTGCAACTTGCTTGAATCGTTGATGTTTGTATTCTTCCTTAGAATTGAGGAGTCTGTTTCTGGTCCATACTTACATTTTATGGACGTTGACTGAAAGTATTTGAATTGTAAATTTTTGCATAATATTCCTCGTATTTCCAATTTCAATCGAGAATAATGTCATCGATGATGGAGTAGTTTTGTAGAATGAGCGAAAACGTAATTTCTGTAGATTGTAAATAAAGGAGGATGACCTTTTTGGAGTGCACACTTCAGCACGGAGGCGACTAATCATGAGTGACGTCCCAAGGAGAGAGGGGATACAGACGAACGCGTAGCCGCTGGTATCTGAGGATTTACTACTAATGTGTCTGTAGAGAGAGCCATGCAAGTTCTAACACATTTTATTTCAGAATCATCTTCTAAGACTCTTTCAAGGAAAAATTTCAGTTTAGCGCGACTTTTATGAGAAAATTGGGAAGTGCAAGACATAAGGAGTGTTTTACAGCAAAATATTTTGTTTCTAATTTTCTGTTGAAAACATTTATCTTATAGGTCAAAGAATTTTATAGAATAATCCAAACCTGAATCGACTAGAGTGTAAATAGGCGACGATGATATTTTTGACCGAAATTGATCCAAGCATGGCAGCGGCTAGCCGTGAGTAGTACCCCCAGAGGAGTGTCGAACAGTGGCTGGCTGTTGATCTAGAAGGCTCACCTTAGGAACACTTCAGGCCATTGTAACCCATAGAAAAATTTTCTACTCACTAGGCTTGATCGATTGAAACAGTGTCTGAAAGTGGCCCAAAAACGAAAAATTATTTTTCCAGATCGATTCTGACAAACGGTTTTCCACAAAAAAAAATCTCGAAACTACATTTGAGAAAAGCATTACTCAGTGACTTTGTATTCAAGTAGTGTCCATGTAGATAGAAAAAGCCTTTTTCATGATTGAAACGAAAAGAGTGATAATTGGTAGAACCTGGTTGAGGATAAATTGCGTATACAAATAATATCAACTTTCTTATACGCTAAATATAAAAAACAAAGACTAGACAAAGAGAAGAGTTAGGAATCTTTTGAATTTTCTGTCCTTTCTTTAAATGAAAATATTGAATGTTTCTGCTACGGTGGAATTCTGTATCAGAGCTATAAAAATATAATTAGTAAAGGAACTGTTCACCTCGAATGAAAATCGCAATATATACAACAGTGCAGTACTTCTATCGATAATTTGAACATTTATCCTTCTTCTAGTAAGCAGTAGCTCGAATACTTAGTATTCATCTACCAGTGAAATATCATGTGAGACTTCTGTTAAATGTAGGGGTATCATCTTATCTTTACTTTACCAGGTAAAGTAAAGTTTAAAAATGTTGAATTTTTCATCTATCTGTGAAAGATATATTGTTTTCTAGTTTTACTTTAGTTTTTCAAAGTAACATAAAGTTAAAGTGACACCACTAGTTAAATGATGCCACTTTATTGGCGGTTTGCGGTTCGTTACGTAGTCTAGTCGAATATTGTCTTGTTCGATAAGTGTTCAAATCATCAGCATTCACTTGAATGATGACTAAAGTCTCATCGATTGAGGCTTATGTTCCTTTATAGTGCTTGGGAAAGACGTTAAGTCTTTAGTTTTTGTCCCAAACGGAAATAAAGAGAACATTTTCAAAGTAGTAACTCAGTAAAATACGGATCACTATCGACCTGTAGATTGTCTCAGACGGATCACTTTTGAACCGGATCCCAAAGGTGGTCAATAGAAAATATGGAATTGTTTCGAACTGCCCTGAGACGTTTCAGTTAAGCAGCGATGTCAAAACAAAATAAATTTGACAGAAAACTAAATACGATGCTAACTTTAATGACGAAGTCGTATTCAAGTTATAGTCATAGGACCTAGAGATACTAAAGGCTCTAGATAAAAACGAAAATTTTTGAAGAATAATTGGAATCGTGGAACTAAGTACGGATATAAGAACGTGGATTTATTTCAATTGCTACAGTACAAAAGCCTTAACTTCACCAGGTTACCCTAGTTTTTCTGATGGATTTGCTTTTAAGAACAAGAATAAAGAAAAAGAGATTCCTTTTTTTTTTGCTTTTTGTTTGATTTAAATATAACTGTTAAATTTGTGCGAAGTGTTATTAATCAATGAATGAAAATTGATTGTTGCATGATTTTTCAAAATATAGATTGTTTCGTGATAAATTTGTTTCAACTTCAGCTCGTTCATTAAATCAATTATTTCGTGAGAAAAATCTACTTTTATTAGAAAGAAAAGATCAAGAAAAACCAACTAAATTTTAACATGATCTTCTTTTTACTTGATTATGCAGAAAAAAATCCAATATCATATCTTTAACATACTGAAATACTTCATGCTAGTATCAGTGATCATGATCAACAAACAATTGATGAAAACGAAGAACAAGATGATCAAAATGAAGATCATTGAACAAGACAAGATGACAAGCAGATTTAATAGCAAGAAGTGGAAAAATAGATATACTTAAATCTGTTAGACGAAGTCGACAAAACAAGAAGTTATCAAATTAAGATTGCTTTCATCTTTCTGTTCTTATTCACTCTTCAAATAAGAGTATCAAGTCGACACGACAATCACATCTGTCAAATGATGATTTACCACGGGTTTATACATATTAGTAGAAAATATTTAGTAAATTAAATTTGATGTTAGACGAAATTAAGAAATCGTCTTGATTTTATCAGACCATATGCAATAATGAAAATTGTGCGTGCGTATGTGTGATGTGGTGAGTGTATGGATAAAGCAAAAATTTAGAATATTCACACGTACACCTTCAAGATAGTTATGCTTAAAAATATACATCGCATCAAGTAACAGATTAAGTCGTAGCATATTTTATTTTTCAGTGCGTAAAAGACAAATTATTGCTTTTATATTCTCCCGATTAGATTTATAGGAAAGGTACAGATACTATGAGTAAGAAACAAGCAATAGTACATATAACCGACGGGAAAGAAATGTGATAAGATTTTGTGGAAAAAAAAAGTGCGAAATTAAAAAATTAATCTTATTATCGTTCGTGCACTTTTGGCTTCCAATTTCTCAAAGTTTGACAAAATGAGTTCTATTTATGGTTTATCAATAGAAAATGTACAAATTATGCAAGTGACCTGATGTAAAAATAACTTGTTTTATAGACTATTTTTAGCTATTGAAATACAATTCTATGAGTCATTTTTTAAAGATTATTAATCATATTCAAGAGAAAAATAAATAAATAGTATGTTATATCTTGTTTGAATTGTCATAGACATTGCTTCTATACTCTTAATGGCACAGTCAACATTACCACATGTTACTATTACGATGTTAGAATTATGCTATTAAAACAAACTATTCTTTCATTTACTTTTTTCTTACAGTCATAGCAAACAAATGTTCATATACAATAAATAATTTACATTAATTACGACAAATTTTAACGGAAATCTAAAAAATATTTTTTAACCTATCATTGAGATTTTAAAAAATTAATTTTACACACTATTACATTGTAGCGATATATAGATATCACTAGAAAATTGTTTATGATCATCTACTGTTGTCCAATTGAAAAATATAAATGAAAAAATGTAACTTGTAACATCTATCAAAATTAATTGTATCTTCAAGTGCCATTGTATATATTCAAATTGGTTTTTTTTTCGAATAGAATTTTCATTACACACCATAAATTAGTGAGTAATTGATTTAGTGATCAAAAAAAAAATGGTAGATTTTAACTCTATGTATTTTCTTATGATATACTGATTGTCAAGAACAGATTGAATTATCATTATGAAATTAATAATAGTTATATAAAATTGTATGAAGTAGCTTTTTAAAAAAGAAATTTCTTTTTTTGATGAAATCAGTATAAAAAAAAACTAAACAAAAATCAAAAAAGATTATTTGATATAATCATATGTTAAATCACTGGGTGGATATTCTGACACAGTACTATGATTAGCATCATTTAAATCATCTTGTTCATCATAGCCAGGTACATGTGATGGTGAAAGTGTTTCAATTAATGAACGAAAACGTGCATCGCGACAAGCATTTCGTTGAACAATACGATTTTCACGTTGTTGTAAAGCACATAATAATTGACAATCGAGTGGTGTTCGACGTAAATCAATCGTTTGTGCAAGTGTTCGATAATCAGCTAAGCAATCAACTTGAACAATAAATGCATCATCTCGATCAAGACTTCGTAAAAGACTTTCAATTTCATCTGAACGAAGTTTTCGAGATGCTGATCGTGTACTTGTTCTTGTAATTGTACTAGAAGTTTTTGGTCGTTGACGACGACTTATTGGTGGTGATAGAGTTGCTGGTTCAAGTGTTCTTAGAGCAGCTTCATCGAATACATTTGTATAAGGTTGATGAGTAGTCATACTAGTTGTAGGACGTTTTTTAATATGAGCATTTTGACGATCTGTTCTAGATGGATACGATGATCGAGGATAAGCTGATTGAGCACGATTTGCTAATATAGTACTCATTTTGTTTTTAGTGGTAATGCTGAAAAAAAATGCCCTGTCTGTTTTTGAATAACAACAGTTAGTAATTGAAGTTATAAAAATATTTTTTTTTAAGTTACACTTCGAAATAGTAAATAGAAGCAGAAAAAGAAAATATTTAATTCTTCTTTTTCCTCTTGATTAAGTCTTACTGAATGACGTACTTACTGTTATGATGAAGAATGATGATTTAAATAGGTAGCATAGGTAGAAGAAAAAAAAAAAAGATCAAATAAAATCAGCTTTTTTTTATTCGTCATTGTGTAACATTCAAACATCAGTCTCTTATTTGTTTTTCTCTCGTTTGCATACTCGCTACGGTTCGTACTTTGTTTTATCCGATACTATCAATAGCAACCTTTTTTTTCTTTCTTCTTATTCTTATAATTAAAAGTTGTCAGCAACGAACTCTCTCAATTCTTTTTTTTCTTTCTCTTTCAATAGACGGATTTCGTGTCAAAATGAAACCATCCAGTAGTAGACATGCATATATATACACATCATCATCGAAACGATCTCAAAAAAAAAGCTGATTGTTTCAAGTATCTATGGCGGTGTTATTTTTAATTTTTTCTTCTTTGTCATGTTTTTTTTTTGTTTAACAACACCCGTTAAAACCTCGATGACGATTGTTTATATTATTGTCGTTAGTATTGTGTCGATCAGCAAGTAAATATAATAGACGATAGAATGTTTAATACAACCGAAGAAAATTGAACTCCTTGATGCTCATAACAAAAAAAAAATAATATGAATTACGCAAAGAATTTTTTATATTTCAATATTTTTTTAAAATAAAAGCACCACAAATAATAAAAATAATTTATTAATAAATTAAGTTTATGAGATTATTTACTCTTCCTATTGTTGTTATTGTCTTTTCAAAATTCAACTAATGAAATATCGAGAATACAAAAAACAGATCGACATGATGGACATGGACATGTTGATTGAAGCCATGTATCAGGTCTTGCTTGATCTTGTCTACTAGCAAACCATTTACCCAAACATTCAAGACACCACATTGGACGACAAAAACATGTTTGACATCGGCCAATATTTGGTGCATCACAATTTTTAACTAATTTAACATTAGCATTTGTTTGTAAACAACCAATACATGTATCCAAATCCTAAAAAGAAAAATTAAAATATAAAATAATAAAAAGAAAAAATTCTTATACTCGTTGATTTGGTGGTAATCGATATTTTGGATTTTGTATAACATGTCGTCGAAAATCTGTTACAAATAATTCACTTAGAGATTGACGTACAACAATATTTTTGACATTTTCAATATTTGCTTGAAGTTTACCTCGTAAATCATCATATTCATTTGCTTTTAATCTAAATTTTTAGTTATCAATATTTTAAAATAGTAGTAAAAGAAAAAAAAAATAATTTGCTTCATTTAGTTAAAATACTATTCGATTTATGTACTTTTCTTACTACAATTATAGAAATAATTGTTGTATAACAAGAAAATTAATTAGTCAAATTACAATACAGCGTTTTTTTTTTGTTTAAGCTCAGTAGTTACACTGTTTGTTTTTCAACATAGTTAACCATATAGAAATTTTTCTATCTGCTATATGACGTCAATATTTCGTTATTAAATAGAGAGAATTACAATAACTAATAAGTACGTTAATATCAATGAATCTTTCAGTATTTTCTCAATATCTCTGTCAATTTTAATAGTTGCGAACTAAGTTTCATCTTAAAAGACTCAACATTCAATTCTCTACAAAACCATAGACAAATCCTGTGAATATGTATCATTAACAATTTTCAAGTATCAATCTACAAAATGATTTGTACTTTCTTCTCATTAATGAAATATTGTTTAAACCCTTGAAAGAACTATTTCAAATACAATCAAGTATGCTCTATTTAATGACACATAAGAAAGAACATATCAACTTGAAATATTGATAGAGAATCTAGTGTTTGGACAATAGGTTCAAATTTGTCATATCGAGTCTTGTTTGTTTGAACGTAGTCGATAAGAGAAAGCATTTATTTAGAATTAAGTAGGCTTCTACAGCATGATTCAGTAGTTTCTAAATAAGAAGAAGTTTTGCTCTGAAGTAAAGAATTCAAGATTGAGTTACGTAAATTTTTCAAGAATACGAAACACTATGATGCAAAAATGATTTTTTTTTT